GGGACTCGATCCCAGGACCCCGAGATCATGACCTGAGCCGAAGGCAATCGCTTAACTGACTGAGCCACCCAGGCGCCCAGAAAAATGTCTTTTGAGGTCCTTTGCCCATTTAAAAAAATGAGATTTTTTTTTTTTTTGCTCTTGAGTTGTATGAGTTTTTTAAAAATATATTTTGGATATTAACCCCTTATCAGATACGTGGTTTGCAAATATTTTCTCCCATTTTGTAGGTTGACATTTCATTTCATCGATCATCTCTTTAGCCGTGCAGAAGCTTTTTAGTTTGATGTAATCCCATTGATTTTTGCCAACAAGTACGTGAAGAGGTGCTTGTCATCACTAGTCATCAGGGAAATGCAAATCAAAACCACAATGAGATATCACCTCACACCTGTTAGAATGACCATCATCAAAAAGACAAGAGATAACAAGTGTTGGTGTGAATGTAGAGAAAAGAGAACCCTTGTGCACTTTTGTTGGGAGTGCAAATTGGTACAGACAGCATAGAAAACAGTATGGGGGTTCTTCAAAAAAATTAAAAATAGAAATACCATATGATCCAGCCATCCCACTTCTGGGTATATATCTGAAGGAGATGGAATCACTATCTTAAGAGGGTATCCACATCGGCATGTTCATGGCAGTGTTATTTATAATAGCAAAGACGTAGAAACGATGTAAGTGCCCATCAGTGCATGAATGGATAAAGAAAATGTGATACACACACATACACATACAATGGAATATTATTCAGCCATAAAAAAGAGAGAAAGCCTGCCTTTGGCGACACCATGGATAGAATGTGTATAGCATGGTGCTATAGTTAATAATAATGTATTGCATACTTGGAATTTGCTAGGAGAGTAGATCTTAAAGGTTCTTATTACAGAAGAAGAATGGTAAGCGTGTGAGGTGAAGGATGTGTTTGCTAACCTTATTGTGGTAATTATTTCGTAATACAGAAGTGTATCAAATAGTCACGTACACCTAAACTTACACAATGTTATATATCAAGTATATTTCAATAAAGCTGGAGAAAAGAAGAGAGAGTACAGCCTGGAGATTTCAAGCCAGGAAGAGTTACAGAAAGCTGATCTGTACAATAGGTGATAGTCACAGCCAATCACATGGATTTTCGGGTCTGTTGGTTAAGTTTTGATTTAAGTCTGAACCATTCTTCAATTGGGGGACTGTAAAGGAACACTGGGGAGAGTTTAGGATAGACAAGGTGGTCTCCTTGGGCTCCTAATTGTCCCCTTTGAAAAGGCATCCCCTGGGACTCAGCGTTCTGTTGGCTGTGTTTGATCAAGACCCACAGTTGAGGGAGAAAAGGCATAATGCTTGAGAAAATCTCAGCATACCACATGTTTGGGTTGAACATTTCCTCCTGAATGTGTGTGTGTGTGTGTATTTTTTTACCTCCCTGATTATGTTTTTAATAGCCAGTCAGGGGCCTTTTAATCTCAGCTACCCTTTTTGGGTATGCTCATGTAACCCGCAGAGCATTTTAAAATTAATTTCACATCAAGTGCAATGGACATGGTCCTGCTGTAAACTTGCCTTGTTTGTCCCTATTTTCAGATAAAAGAGCATTTTCTATATATTTCTGGCTATTTAAAATGCAGAACATTTTTATTTCCTTCCAAGTGACCTCTAATCAGAGGTTTCAAAGGAACATACTTGAGAAAAAAAGTGCTGAGTTCTAGCTTAGTATACACGGGCAACTGATGTTGCATTCCACTTTCCAGTATGTTCTAATGCTGTGGTCTTTTACGGTCTACATATTAATGTTACAAAATCATGTGCATCCTCCTCCCCCCACTTCTTTTTACGACACTAGTCTGTGTGGTACTGGAAATGGACTTGCCTTCTAAGGCTATAACTGCTCTCTGCTTTCCTGTGGAATTGAGGTTTTTAAGTGGAAAATCTGAGTCCAAACTCTTTGACTTTAGCATTGGGAAAACTCTTGCTGAGAGACTATTGTTTAAATTGTAGGAGTTGGTGAAGAAAGGGGAAAAAAAAATCCTTTTTTCCAGGTGAAGGGCGGTATAATTAAGGCCCCAACCCAGATGTGTACCTCTTCTAGAAATCTCAACTGCTCCCCTCACCCCCAACTTGGATTGAGGGGTATACATGCTTTCACATCATCTCATTTGCTTGTTCTCTCAAACTCCCACTGGGGGACATGACTCAGTAGGATATGTTCCTCTAGAGTGGGGACCAGCCAACTTTTTCTGTAAAGGGTTAGATAGTAAATATTTTAGGCTTTGTGGGTGGCTATTCAACTCTCTTGTTTTGCTGTGAGAGAGCAGCCATATTCAATACGTAAACAGATGGTGTGGCTGTGTTCCAAAAACCTTTATTTCACAGATAGGCAGTGGGATAGACTTGGCCCCTGGACCATTGATTGTTGACCCGTGTCCCAGATGATAACCACCAGAAATGATAATCAGGTGATACAAGTGATTGCCCAGTGAGGTGATTATGTTCTTCAAATATCTGGGAAGTTCTAGATGGAATCACAGTGTCAAGCAAGGATGACTGAACCCCTAGAAAATCATAGTCTTAAGGGGTGATGTGTTGTGTAGAAGATATGGCGACCATTGGTACTTGGGGCTTGCCCTGATGTTCCTGGTGGTGTGTTCTTGGATCTCCATGTTTTCTCGAGGCACGACTGTTGGTAATGTCCTCCCTTCCTGTACCTGGCTCCTTTTTTGAGAAACCCAGCCTGGGGATGAATCCATGGTGCCTCATTTGATCGCCTCCCAGTTGTTGGCCTTGCTATTCTTAGTCCATTGCTTATAGAGGGGACTGGGTTCCCTCCCAACCTTTTACAGTCTCAAAACCCACACAAGAAGGCGACTCACACTTTCCATTTTGACACGCCTGCCTGCTCTCCCCTCCGCCCCCTGCCTTCTGCCTCTCACAGCATTTACCCAGAGAATAAACTGAAAGATGCCTGCAGATTTTTTCTGTAAAGACTTTAGATCAGGTTATTTGATTCATTCACAGACTAAGGCTACATTCACTGAGCTAAGAGCCAGAGCAGAACCAGAGGCAAGATGGGGCTGGCAGGCATCGAAAGTAGTCATTGAGACAATCTGAGGTTTGACATGTCCTGTTTTGATAGTAAAAACTTTTAAGTACATTTAAAGATCACCAGATGTCAAGAGGATGTGGGAAAGCTAATGAGCATGATGGTAAAGTACTTGGTAAGTGTGCTGTGTAAGAGCTTAGTAATCAGAAGTAACACTGCTGTTTATTTGTACAAGGAGCTCAGGGTGAAGGACCCGGCATCTTCAGTGAATACGGTGGGCATGAGTCTGTGAGCTAACACCCAAGCTGTATCTTCCAGATGGGCCAGAGCAGAAAGCCTCTTTATCATTTTTTTGAGTCACGACACTTACCAGTGACCACCTACCTTCATTTGGGTTTTATTTCTTTGTTCCTTTCCCATTTGCATTGTTTCCTAAAACTTCCACGGGTGGGCATTCAGTTCCCCACAGAGCTGACTCATGTAGCCCTGTGCTGTCAGGTCTAAAACAAATATAATTAGAAAACCTACAGCTAGGCAACATGAAGGTTATAAACTAACATCCCCAACGGCAGGGGGAAACGGAGTGAGTCATCTACATGTCTGCATGCAAAAACGTTCCTATTTAGCTGCTCAACCTAGTCGCTGAAATAATGCCACCAGACAATCAGGGAGGTGGCCGTGACTGGTGGTGGTGGTGGGGGGGCGGTACATGGCACTGGGTTCTATCAGAAGGAATCGTCCTTTTTGGTTTGTTGGTTTGATTCTGTTTCCACTGGGAGCACTGTGGTTCATTAGCTGATGTATCCTTTTAATTAGAGGTGTGAGGTTCCAGGGTGACAGCCGGGAACTTACCGTAACAAAATTGAACCTTTCGGGGAGGGTTGTACTGGTGCAGAGAAAAATGTTTCATTCTCTTCAGAACTGTTTTGGAATGTGTGGCCTCTTGGACCCACTATGCCTATTTCCCCAGCAAATTGCTAGCCCTGGCGTTTTTGTAAAGCTTGCTTAATCTGAAAGCTGTGTGAATAGAGACCATTTCTTTTCTTTTCTTTTTCTTTTTGCTTTTCAATCTTTAATCTCCAAGTTGAGTTTCCCTGCACATACCTAGAGTTTGGCAGTCGACATTATTTTCCAGATGGATCAACTCTTCATCAAGATAGACATAAGTATAACTCATGGCTGTCAATGTGGCTTAGAGAGTGGCTTTGTTAACTCTTTCAGTCCAAACTAGCTCTCCAGAGTCCGGGGAAAGCACTACGTTGCTCATTTGCTGTGCTACCCAGTTGGATTCTCATTCTACCATCCATTTCCTGAGAAATCGATGTGCGCAAATCTATGAAATTTCTCATTATTTTCCTGTATCAATCTAAAATTACTTTGTAGGGGACAGGGTTATGGGTAAATCAGAGTTTGGGCCATCTTTGCCCAAATCCTTGTATTTCACCACAGGTGGGATTTAGGTATCCTGATTACAGATTTATTTCATAAAGCAATAGATACTCTGTCATGGAAACAGATATCAACCTGGGAGGGGTACAATACAAGATAAAAGGTATCTTTAGAAGGCCCACATCACTGGATGTGTACTTGATTTGGGAAGAGGTAGGAAGAGTCCAGTTTAACCCTGATAGGGGTTATTTGAATCTGTTGACCAAACACATCTGTGAATCTCCTATATTGTCAGTGGCCAATATTAATACCATGTGTTTTTCTTTTCTTTCCCAGCAACATCCATTTTTCACCCTACACGAATCCAAAGCAACAGACGTGGCATCTTTTGTAAAACTGATTCTTGGAGACTAAGTACCGTGGACTCAGTCGGTTGGCCCTCCTGTGGATTGGTGGGTTTACAGGGTGAAGAGGTTCACAAAAGCGCCAATAGAAACTCATCTTTGAGATAATTTAATCCTGCCTCTCAGAAGGTTTTTTTTTTCTCTCCCCATTTTCTTTCTTTTTTTTTTTCCCCTCCAAAGGGGGCCTTGGAATCTCTAGTATAGAATGAACTGTCTAGATGGATGAAATATGACAAAGGCTTAGGACTTAAAAGGGTGATTAAATATTTAATGAGGTGTCATATGAGTCCTTAAGCTTCTCAGACTTCTCTTGTTCTTTATGAAACGAATGCATTGGCCCTGGTCACAAGGTGCTACCATAGTGATGAAATTGTAAGTAGATCTGTAGTTTGTCCCACTTATTATTTTAATATTTATGTTTCAGCGCTTGGTTGCAAAGATGCTATTTTATGCAAGGAGGGAGATACAAAAGACAAGGTTGGGTTGGCAATATTTATAGGGCTTTTATTTTTTCAGTTCAATCGTGTCTGTGGTCCAGAAGAAATTATTTAATATGCATCTTTAAGAGTATTGTAACCTACCTGTTCCAGCTGTGGTGGCTACTTGCCACGTCCTCGGATTTCTGCTCAACTCCTGGGTCATAACCACAATATTTCAGGGGAAGTGGCGAGCCATCCCGGTCATAACCCTTTTCCTAACTTTGGAAAACATAAAATCACTTTGATCTCAGAGTCACAAATTTGGTTCTCTTGGCATTTGTGGTATTAATGGAATGTGATTCGTAATGCGATTTTATATCACCTGTCTCTCCTCTGTGTGTGTGTGTGTGTGTGTGTATTTGATAAGTCACGAGCTCTGCCAAGTGGCTTCTGTGAACATCTCTATCTAGTAAAGAGGACGTGTGTCAATTCTGAGAGGAGATATCATGTCGAACCACACAGAGAATCGGTGCCTTCTTCTGCTTCTGCCCCTCCTTATGATATGTAAGCCCCAAGGATTGCCTTTGTGGCAATCCTTCACATACCCTTTTGCTTCCTTCTTCTTTTTTATTTCTTGTTCAATAAAAAAGCCTTACTATTAACGGGAGGGCTGCAATAGAAGACAATGAAAGTTCTTTGATAAGGTGAGGAGTTAATGGGGAGGGTTGAATTCGTTCCTTGGAATAGATTGCCAGATTTCCACAGGTTGAGGTGAGGCCACATTTTTCTCCAGCAGCACGCAGTAGCTCTTTTGGCTGGAGGAGGCTGGTGCCCTTGTGGGTCCCTGGCAGGTGGACAACACAACGAAAGCCCTTTCTCAGGGCTAAATATGCCCCTGCGTTCTCTAGATTCCTTGAGGAAAAAGGAGTGAAGTGATACAGGGAAATTGTAGACCGATAATAACAAAGAAACATTGCTTTTGGACATTGGGTTGATATAAGCCTATTCTTGGAGGACAAGGATGAAGAATTCACATTAAAAACGAAGAAGGGAACTCACTGTTTCTTTCTTTGCCTCAAGTTCACAGATATGGGACTTACTGCTCCCTAAAATCCTCCCCTCTTCCCCTTTTAGATTTTGAAGTGCTCTTTCTTATTTTTCTGTGTCCGTGTTTTCCCCTTGACCTCTGTTTTACTCATAGCAGTTGCTCCGAGTGAGTGTGGTACTTCCATACACTTCTTTGTATCCAGTTGATCAAATGTAGTTTCATCTTCTTGAAAGCTACCTCTGTCCTCATCTTTTTCCAGCCAGAAAAGGTGTGTTATCCTAATTACGGCCATTCACTCTCCCACCCACCTTCCTAAATCTGGCAGTTTCTCTCTTTGAGATCAAGAGAAAAAAAAAAACAACACACACACACAACCGTATTCCTTCCTTCCTTCATCCATCTTATGAAAAAAAGCAAGTAGTAGAAAAAAAATCGGAGGTCATTCCATGACAGTTTTTGGTGAAATACATAAAGGAAAACATCTTTTTGCTCGGAGTCAGAGACTCTTACCTGCTGTTCAGTGTGGTTTCTGCTTAGAAACAGTCTTAACCGGCGTGTTCGTTCACCTGTGTATGCCTCTCTAGTGTGTGGGCCCAGGGCCTCAGCTTGCAAAACAATCATACGGAGGTAGAGGAGGAGTTCATCAATGGTTCTCAGTCTCATGCACACTGGAATCTCTGGGAGCTGGTGAACACTACCAATGCCAAGGTCCAGGGTGGGGCCTGAGAACTGGTCTTTCTCACACACCGTTTGTGATTCTGATGCACAACACGGTTGAGGACACTGGTCTAGTACCTTTGAAAGAGAGAATTGACCTACAATTTCTCAGAGACGGCACGTTCCCGGAATACTGATTTGAACCTTGGGATACATTTTCCCCATAGAAATGATGTGCTCCATGGTGATTAGATGTCTTCTGTGCTAACGTAGAATGGCTTGATGGTCTTATGAGTCTAAATTCTAGAATGTGGGGTGTTTTTTTTTTTTTTTGAGAACTGTTACAAGTTCTAAACTAATTTTAAAATAAAAATGGAGATACACAAACCATATTTAAGTTGTTGGAAGTTGGAAGTTTCCTGTACGTACACTCAGGTTACTCGATCCTCTATCTTAACTTCGCTCATTGTGTATCATGATTATTACTGTTTTTGCTCGCCTCTGGTTGGTTAGCTTTTTAATGGTGGTCCTACCTTCCTTTGCTGTTGGTCACTTCTGCCACGTCGGATGTCCTAGTTAGGGACGTGAGATACTCATTAGCCTCAGGATTCGAGGAAGCCAGCGCTGAGACTAAAGGGGCTCCTGGTTTCTCCAAGAGCACTTGATTTAGTGTCTTTGGAAAGTGATGACAAAGGAGACGGAGAGGGGCTAATGTTTTCACAGTTTTTAACACTAAAAATGCCTCTGCTGACCAACAGCCTTTATCAGCTCTGCTGAGAGAAACTACTCTGTTTCTTCCAAAGTTGTCTAATGAAACGCTTTATCTTCAGCCTGAAAGTGAAGTACATGGCTTAGTCCCTGACTTTCTGCCCCAATGCTTTTCTGGCCACGTGACTGCCTCCGACCTTGAAGGGAAGATTCATATATTCATAGAATTCACTGGAGTTGGTGGTCAGATCGAGTAAAATGAATTAAACCTCTATTGTGCTGGGGATTTTGTCTTCTTAGTGTCTGTCTATGGCTTAGAGGGCAATTTCCTGGCTTAAAGCAATCTTCCGTTTTTATTGAATTAGCAAGTAGAAGGTGCAGATTTTTGGACCCCTGAAAATTTACATATTCAGATGGAAAATTGCCAGAGTAAAATCTAGGGCAAAGAAACTGCCAAACAAACCCTATTAGAATAGGAAAAAAAAAAAGATATTTTATTGGAGAAGGTCTGTGTTCCTCTTGTCTAGGGGTGTGTGCGTGTGTGTGTGTGTGTTTTAGCACTGTTAAATATGCTGGCAGCTAAAGATACTCTTTGGTTTTCTTTGGCTTTAATTGGGGTACTCTGGATTTCTTTAGGAATCTGTTGAAAGCTAGGACCTTTTCCCTAGGAAAATGCACATGGTACATGGAACACATAGTTTTGCAAACATTTTTTGTTGAGGGAAAGGGAATGGAGTCCAGTTTATAGACCCCATAGGATCAATAATCTCTGCTCTGTAGAATGTGGGCTGTGACATTCTAGACCAAGACTGGCAAGCTTTTTCTGTAATGGGCCAGATAGTAAGTATCTTTGGCTTTGTGTCCCATTAGTCTTTTACCACAACTTGGGTCTGCTGTTGCAGAACGTGGAGCATCCGTAAGCAATACATAAATTAACGAGTCTGTGCCCCAGTGAGGCTTGATTTACGAAATCAGGTAATGGGCTGGATTTGGCACACAGGCTGTGGATTTCCAGCACCCATCCTAGACGATCAAAATACAAAACTAATTGATGAGCTCTGTATATAGTTTTTCCATTTAGTGAATACTGAGCTCAGCCGCTATTGAGGCAGATTAGGAAGATGGACATAGGAAATGAATTTGGGAAGGGGGGAGATGGTTCAGTCCAATGGAAATGGCCTCTTCATTTTCTCAGGTAAGTATTCCTTGCCCTGGAAGCCAATGGGACAGTTTTCCTCAGTTGAGATCGAGTACCTACTTTTTCCATTTCTATACGATAGCCCATATAACTTACTTCAACTTGGAAATAAAAGGCAGGCTTCTCTTAGACGGCAACAATATTCTTGTTGTCTCTGAGCTTTGCATTTCATTTCTCTCTGTGGTGTGATGCCCATGCAGGGGGAATCATGAACCCGGACCCTAATCATTTGGTCTTCCTTTCCTCTGAACTGCATTAGGATGTGAGAATTTGGGAGGTCTTAGTGCCCTCAGAAGTAGAAGGCAGATAGAATTCTTAAAATCTTCCAGTTCATCCACCTGAGCTCTTTGGCCACCTTGGAAGATAGTAAGGCAGACAAAGTTTGGGGTCAAAATACTTGCTCGAAAGCAGACTCAGAGCTCCGGGCTTTCACTGTGACAGGAGACTTAGGCCCACCCCTTGAGCACTGTCATAATCGTCACTAAATTTCTACCCCAAGGGGCCTATGCAAATGCCTCCTTTCTGATGTGATGATCTTGGGTTGCCAGCCCTGGTTGAGTTTCTGGGCCGCCTCGTCTCTAGTGTAAGCTTTGCCTTCCCTATGGGACCAGAACAACTATAATTTGCTTCACCTTCTATCAGCACTTGTCCCCTTTTTGCCAAAGGAACCCTATACCAAGACCTGTCTGCCACCTAGGCTGCCCATTTCCCCTTTCTTCTCCCAGAACAGCCCAACACATCTGACTTGATGCTGTCATCTCTTTATTATTCAGAAACAAGTTTTCTTCCTGCCGCATCATCAGGCAAACATAAATTATACTTAGAAGAACATTTGGAACTGCCTGAGTATTAGGTATTCGATCTGGCAATTTACGTGAAAGAATGTTTTCTCTTCGCCTAGGGAAACAAAACCTGAATTCCAGAGCCTTCAAAAATGACATTATCCTTCTGGGGAAAGCACCTTGCCACCAAGCACATCACTCACCACTCGTTCCTGGTATCTGCAAAGAAGATGAGTCCTTTTGCTGAGGTTTAGAGAGGCACTGTTGAAAGCTATGCAAATATAATTTGGGTTTTCTAAGGGACTCATTTGGAATCAACACTTAACGTCGGGGTTTATCTTTTCGGCTCTTGACCCAAACTCTTTTCTCAAGCAAAATTTCTCTAAAAGCCTCTTTCCTATCTGAGGTGAAGGGGACTGCGCCCTAAGTAGAAACACAAAGCAAGGTCAAGGACTTTGTGGTAGAGATTTTTTTTTTTTTTTAAAGAAAAAAATATCCCCTCTAACACAAATATGTGTTAATAGAATTAAAAAATATCCAACCTAGTTCCCAGGGACTGTCAGGATCTTGACATCATTCATATTGTTATTTGAAGTAACTACGACACTGAGCCCTTCATCCTCGGGAGTTTGCAGTGAGGTCTGGGGAGATTTGCATTGTGTTTCTGTCTTGGAGGTGTCAGTATGGAAAGATTTCTCTGTGGGCTCTTTGTCGGGATACATACAGGTTTTCCCCCGGGTCCACTTTTGTGTTTCTGGACTCAGGGTCTCTTTCAAGGAATGAGGCTAATGCTCTTCTGACTTGGAGACGGATTTCAGGGAACGAACGGGAATGTTTAGGCATGTACTTGCGTCTTAATGTAGGAAGCAGAACTTCCTAACTAGCCCCCAGAGTTTGTGGCTTTGACCAAGCCACGTGGTCCTTCCTGGTTCCCTTGATTACATTTGCTTGTTCGTCCTGCACCAGGCCCACGTGACCTGGGCCGACTGAACGCTTCTGTGTAAAGGAACAGATCCAACTAAGAATCGGCAGTTTTGCCTTGGTTTGACAACGTGGATTCCGTTGTTCCCAAATCTTGAAAATGTAAGGGATATCTAAGAGAACTTTTAGCAAAACCCTCATTCAGACTGTAAGACCTTATAATAAAACTTCCATTCGGCCTGTACAGAAGGACTGCTGGATTGGGTATCTTCCTCTGAAGTAATTGTGGCCGGAAATGAGCAGTTAGCATCATTTGGTCATTATGAACATTTGTTTGTCTTGGGGTACGCAAGGTATGTCAACAAAGCAAGTCAGGCCCCTGCATTAGGAGATTGTCTGTCGACTCTGGACTTTAAGCTGAACAGTGATGTGAAATTAGGTTTGGGGGCTGGGAGAAAGGATACGTGCAAGGAGCGATGCTTAACCAGGGTCCCCATGATAGAAGAAGCTGGCAGACAGGTGTATCCCTTAACTTATTTTCAGTATTACTATGGACATGATCTCCTCTGGAAAGACCTATCAAAAAGCTAAATGTTAATTTTTTTTTTCTTAAAAATACTGAACTTTAAAGAAATTTAGAGAGTGGCACTGATTTGGATCTCAGAAAATTTTCTTGTTTCCCTAGTATTATTGATTCTGCTGAGTCACCAGCTTAAACTGGTGACACCCAGAAAAAAAGATAAATGATTAGTGGCCTTACAGCATTTTGAGAGTAAACAACCCATTGGTCAGCTACCCTCTGGGTAAAGAAATAGGAACACAAAACCAAGCCCCTTAATCTCTTGTTCTGGTGGCTGACGTGGACAGAAGGGTGAACACCAGAGCTTCTCTGACGTGCATACTTTCTCCAGAAGGTAGAGGGCTGTGAATGTTCTGAGAAAAACACTATAGGTCTTCATCAGGAGAGGAGAATTGATAAATCTTAAAACATAACACTCAAAGCTAGTTTGCATTTTCAGAAGCAGGGAATTGTGTGGAAAAAGTGGTTTTTACTTTCTTCTGATCTCAAATTGTCTGACCTAGTGTGTGTTTGGTACTTGGGGAGAGAGGGCACAGAAGTGGTTTATAGACTGTTCCGTGGTACCCCTGGGGGTCTCTTGTCGTGAAGGGAAGACCATTTGATGAAGGATGAAGAGTGTGATGCCCATCTGAAAACCCCATCAACCTCCAATCAGAGTATTTGGCTACCATTATTGTTCCCCTTAACTGGAAAGTCTTTAAGGCTATTAAAGGCTTGGGAACTTTGGTTGAAATGATTACTTGAAGACCCGCCAAAGAATCTGGGAAATTTTCTAGCCAACAATGCCTGCCCTGGCTTCTGCTACATTCAGGATGCTAACAGGGCTTGGAGGCTGAAGGGCCAAAAGAGAGGGCCATTTATTTAAATTTTTAAGCATGAATCCTTTGAAAGAAAAGGCAAAACAATCAATATGTGATGGCCAGGCATAGAGAGTCTTGAATTGCTTATTTTTCTAAAGTGGTTGCAAATAGCCTGATCTCAGTGGCAAGGAGGGGCAAGCCTGGGCTCTCGATGGGCCATGGAATATCGAAATTTCTACATTTGCAGGGGCGGGAGTTGCCATTTTTGTTCATTGACGTGTAGGAAAAAGTACAGTTTGGGCACAGAGAAGGGTCCTGTGAGAGAGTCAAGCTAACGATTACCCTCGCTGGGGTTCACAGGTGAACGGTAATGGGAAACTGATACAGCCTTTAGAAGCTGAAAACTGGTGGTTTACCTGTCTCGAACTGAACCCAAGGGGATGCTTCGGCATGGGTTGAAACCTGTCAGGTGCCTTCTACACGCACATGGTCTGTGGTGGATTCTGATAGTGGCACGTTAGCCGGTCAACCAAATTTAACAGCCAGGGTTTTCCGGCAGCCATTTTAGACCTCTGTGTGTGTCAGAAAGTTATATTTGGCAACAATTTATGGAGTTCTTGGCCAATCTCTCTGTAAAAAGCCACCTGAGGAGGTTCAGTTAAGAAAATTCAGACAATTTCTCTGTCATCATACCCCTGTGTTTAGTTTTTTCTATAGTCTCAAGTTTATTTTCTGAGTGATTTTCTATAGGAACCAAAATGATGTTTTCGTAAAATAACAGGTATTTTTAAAGGAAAAATGTCTTCGTTATGTAAGTACCTTCCATGATTGGAACATATTTCTTACTGCACAGAATCATCACATTAGGTCATTTAAAGCTGAGAAAGGTGTTAGGGATGTAGTTCAAATTCTTTATTTAAAGACACAAACATTTTTCTATATATTTTGTGAAAATCCTGATGGGATGCTGGATGTAACTTCTGTACAGAATTGAACTTTACAAGAATTTTAGTAAAATAGGCGGATTGCCCCAGATTCCTTCGTGCTTTAGTTTCGTCTCGGAAAAATGCTGCTTCCAGTTATTAATCTGGTCTTATAAGGAAAAAAACCATACATACTTTTCCCCCCTTACATTGTGTGAATTTTATGATAGGCGTTTTCTATTTGTATATATGATTGTTCTCCTGTGTTGTACCCCACATTTGTTGGTAAGCCATGTTTACTGTGAAGACAGCTGTAGGGCAAGTGGACACATGCCTGGTCTTTACAGTCCCCTGATGCTAGGAAAGAAGTAATTCCGTATGTTAGTTAAGAGGCCCTGCAATCTCTTCGTAATACCTAAAATATTATGAAAGGAGATTTGAGAGGTTGTGCACCCCTATCCTTCGAAACCCATCTCCAGCACTGTGTCTCTGGGAAGTGTGAAATAGCAGAATGACTACCATTTTGTGGATTCCCTCATTGACTGACTCCCCCATCTTTCCTGCTATATGTTATGTGCTGCTAGCTCTGCCTGGTGGAAATCATCTCTTCTTCATGGATGGCACTGTCCTCTCTTTATGAATGAGGCAGACTGAACTGCCCAGTGTGGAATTCATTAGAAGTTCATAAAGGCCTGTGAAGGATGTGGGTGGAATGAGGTGAATGTGAAATTGATGCTTTGGCCCTGGGAACTTTTTGCTTGTGAGCTGCAGAGCGAAAGGAGTCAGGGTGTATGTACTTCATTCTGTTTCCCTATAAGGAAATGTGTGGGGCTGCTCTCTTCATTTCTCACCATTGTCCAGGAAAGGGAAATTATGACTATCAATTGATAACTTCAGTCAAGCTCTAGGATTGTATTATCTGTTTTGTGGGGAAGCATGCCTTTTGTTGTCTTTGCCGTACCAGCTTTGGTGACCACCATGCATTTTTATTTTAGCGTAGTTTTCCTGTTACCTAGGTTGTGTGCATTGGTGGTGGTGGTGTTTTCTTTTGAACTACTGCTGATTGTGAACGGTGATGTTATCTCAAAATCCTGAAACCAAGGAAATAGCCAATGCATAGGACTTGGGGTAGATGAAAGCATTGGTGTTGATGTAGGTTAAGTTTTGACAGAATTAGCAGAAATATACTGAACTGAGGGATAATGTGGCTTTAAAGACCCCATGTTTGTTTTTAACATTTGGAGAAGCCACCTGTCCTAGGTCCTTATTTTTGGGAAATTCATCGTTTCATGCAAATACCATTGGTGGGGCATACTTAACAGCCTGGATGACTGGCTTCTTCTCAGTCAGTAAACGAGGAATTCTAATAATTGCCAAAGGTGGGGGGTAATTTTGCCTTTCATAGGTCATTCTGTGGTGAAATTTCCAATCACAGTATCTTGTAAAAAGCATAACATTATAATTTCCCTTCTCTTTTCTGATCTAAGAGCACAGTAGAGGAAGAGTAAAGTTCTGATGTGATACAAAATAGTTCATTGACTCTGTGTTTTTGACCAAGGAAATGGCTGAGATGTTAAACTAAGTGGTTGTTACATGGTTCGTATGGTGACCTCAAAAGGATAATGAAATTGGGACATTCAGTCAAACTGGGACTCCTCTGTTGATGAGGAGCTTGTACTTTGATTTCCTATCTCAGGATATTCTTCAGTTTCATACTGCTGCTGAGGAGGAAGGAGCGAGCGCAGACACTGTAACAGTCTCCGGATGTTTGTGTGTGTGTATGCAAAACTTCACACTGTGTGTGTTGTGTTCAATGTTGTGTCAATCTATGAACTGACTCAAACAACAATTTGAAGATAGAGAAGACAGGAATAATGGCAAAAGACACCCATCCACCTCTTTCTGTCAAAGTGCTTGCTATGACTTTCATAGCTAGGCCAAATAACGTACCGTATTCAGGAGCAAGGTGTCCTTGAAAGAAATGGTGTGTTGATCTCATAAGAAAATGTACAACCAATAAAAGACATTTAAAAAAGTGCAGCGAGTCTGTATATTAATTGAGTTGTTCATGGGAATTCTTTGTTCCAGGGATGCTGCTTTGAGGTATAGAAGCTCTGCAGGTAAAAGCTTGGCTTGAACCATTTACCCTCTTTTTGCTTTCCTATTTCCACTTCCCAAACAGAATGGAACAAAGCATAACAGAACAACAGTGTTGTAGTCTCGAAGACTCCTTAGAAGCTCATTTCATCTTCAGACTCACTTCATCTTCAGCTCATTCAGACTCAATCTTCGGGTAGTACATATTCCTAGGTTAGACGTGAAGGCCAATATCACATTATTAAAATCAGTTGGTTTGTGGGGAGGCTGGGTCCAGATGGCTTAAATGAAAAGGTTAAGACCCAGACTTCTTGGCTTTCATGGGTTCCTGACACTGAACTTTTAGGCCAACTAGTCATTCGAATTTTTCCTGGTCTTCTATGTAATATACATAATACTAGGAAATTTGCCTTACGTCATCAGGCAGTGCTGTGATACAGACGTTCTGGGAAAGGAAATGTTATTTCAAGTATATATGGTTGGGTCTGCAGAGTTCTCTGATTTCTCCTATCAACTGAGTGCCTGGAACTATTTGACTTGCATCTGCCTTAATCCAGTTTAGAGATTGACTAGACCTTAATGTTACCAGTTTGAGTGCATCATCAGTTATACCCAGAGGTGCACATTCCCCTCAGTCTTGCTTATTGCTTAACCAGGTTGATGTTGCTGAGTCAGAAGCAGACTCCTTTTGGAGTTCCCCTAGTGTTTCACCTTGAGTGGACGTCATTTCTGCAGTTAGAATCGAAAGTGGAGGGCTCACCCTACTTTTGCATATGTTGCTCAAGTCACTTCCTAATGCCAATGGACTCTGTTATACTGATTTTGAAGTCCTCCCCATGCACTGTCTTAAAATTGCTGTAATTCTTCATCTTTTCTAAGTGATAGACCTTCCCTGGCGCTGGGAATTTTAAGTTCCTATAAGGGGTGTGGGTGTGTGCAGGGGGAAGGCATAAACAAACACAGTATTTTCAGGCATCATCTATGAAAGTGTTTTACACAGTTCTCCATAAGTATTCCTTATTTTCCAACTTTTAAAATATCATCAGATCTTAAAGTTTTTTCCTTTGGATGGGTATAATGCCTTCTTCTTTTGCACACTTCTCATGTTGACTGACACTAATTTGCCCCCATCAAAATGAGTCCCTGTTTACTCAAGATTTTGTAGGAAACCAAATTAAAGTGGAACATGGAGAAGGCGATTGGGTTAATAACAAAAGCTTCTCGTGGTTGTTCCTTGGTGATTTGGTTATCTGTGGTGACGTAGCAAACCCCAAAGCTTAGTAGCTTCAGACAATGGCTTTAATACTATTTCTCCCAGTCCTGTGGGTTGGCTGGGCTCAGCTGGGTGCTTCTGGCTTGTCGTCTTTCATGCATCTGTAGTCAGGTAGCTGGAGGAAGAGCTACTGGGAATGTCCTCATGCCACCTGTCTGGTGCCCAGGCTGGGGTGGCTGGACTGGGCTGGGTCAGGGACTAATGAGGCATCTCTCCTTGAGGCGGCCTCTGTGTGTCTACCACGGGCTCTTCAGAGCCTGGCATCTCAGAGTACTTGGAATCTTTCCACGGTAGTTGGATTTCCCCCGAATTAGTCATCCAAAAGCCCCAGGCCGAATACTGGGACTGCGTTTCATGGTGTGGGCATCTTCGAAGACTAGCTACATGCTTGGTCAGTTCGATAAGTTAGTAAATACTTGTGAACTTTAAAAATGGATCTTATTCCTTCTTTCCTAAATTAGTGGTCCAGAGGCAGTAGAAGAAAGGTACTAAAGTTAATGATGGAATTAATTTCCATTCATTTATTATCCACAGTTTTGTCAAGGCAAGTGCTTTGGTCAAAATGATGTTATCCTGTAGAGGATGAAGTAGCCATCTCCGCCCAAAAAGTCTGAAGCCATAATTGAAATGAAAGTAACACAGAGAGAACTCATCAATGGCATTTGATGACATACAGAACTTTTAGTACTTCTCCAGCACCCCAGACGTCAAGGACTCATAAATACTTGCTGAGTAGCTGTTTTCTCCTCAAATAGCTTTGTTTTTTATTGCAAAAATAATGCATTATGAGAAAACTTAGAGAATACATGCAGGAAAATAAACACGATCCACAATTCCAGGTTAATTGTTCATATGTTCTTGAAAGTATATTGTTCTATACTTTCACATACACACACAGAGGTACAAAACCTTAATGGGATTATGCTATTGTTACCTGCCTTGATTTCCAAATTATACCCCGGGTATCTTATCATGTTGATTAATGCAGATGGCATCCCCATGTTTGATGGCTGTCTAATATTCCAGTAAATACATGTATATATTTAACTGCTTCCCCACTGGTGGAAATTTTGATTATTCCTTTTTGATTCCTGTGATAAATATCCTTATTCCTACATCTTTATGCATGAGTCTGATTGTCTTGGGGGAAGTTTTGAAGAGCTGAAGGACCTCAACCATTTTCCCCAGGGCTGAACATCAGCAATGGTTTCACTTACTTGTCTCAACATGGTTCTCTCCTTTCGTTACTGTGGTGCTCACTCTTCTCCAGCTCCAGTTGAAAACTAAGAGATCAACTTCTCTGGCAATAAACCCAAATTAGGAATTTTCAGTGCGGGGACCTGCCCACACAATGATGCCCTGATGATCCCAAAGGTATAATTCTTGAGTAAATTGGAGCATAAGGGATGTCTTTCAGGAATATCCACAGAGGAAAAAAAATTATCAGGAAGAAGCACTTGGAAGAAAAGTACAGAGCATAGGAGCAGGGAAATGGAATCTGCCTATAAAAAGCAAAAAGATTGCTTTCTCTTTTCATTTCTTGCTGTCTTGCTATAATGATTATTCAATGACTATACTAGACAAGAGCAGAATTTTCAGTTTGTTCAGTGGGCATTCTAACCATTTATGACCACGTAAGTCTTAGCGAAGCTAGACCTATAACTCTGCCAACAAAACTCAGCATCAATCACTCAGTGGGCATTAGCTCTTGAAAACCCCTCTTCAGGTCTGATATAGCTCTACTGGTTTTGTGAAGCTCTGCACACCCTGGAATTTGCCTTCTGTGTTCTTGCTCTTCAATGCTCTAGCAATCTGCGCCACCACCCAGGAGCCAGCTAGCAATGCAGAGAAGAGCCTAGCATGCAACACCACTCCTAGGCGACTCACATTCACGTGATAGTTGGAGAAGTGGCCGTCTGTCCATCTCACCCAATTTTGGAGTTTCAACGGTCAGACCTCGAATATAATTCTTTCAACATTGACTCCATGTTACAGACAAAAGATGCCTCTGGAAGTGATAACCAGATTTATAAAGTAGAAAGTCTATATTGGGTGGAGGACTCTTATGTGTTCCGGTTTATTAAGTATATAGGTATTCTGATGCTTGGTTCAGCACAGTTTCCTTTTTCTTTTCATTGCAGGATTAATGAAAAGTAGTCTCATCTAGGCAAAAAATGACCCTTAGGCTTGAACACCTTCCATCCATAAAGTGTTTTATAGATTCCAACGGGAAGGCTGCTTTAGGGATGCAGAGCATGGTGTAGGCTTCAAAGGGAAGGAGCTCGGGAGGTAGTGACTAAAGCTTGGAGTATGACCTAGTGCTTCCACTGTTTCCAAATTTGGTGACTTCCTCGTATCAGCTGGGCCTCGAGGCACTTCACCTTGGGTTTCCTTGCACTGCCAGAACCTTCCTTGGCAAGGGGTGGTTCTTTGTCCTGTAAGGAAGGACAAGTGGCAGACTCAGAACTTAATGCTACTTGCCTAAGAATGGTCAGCTCGGTTAAGAGCAATCAGCTTTCCCCTGATCTGGAGTGACCCCATGGACTGGGAGGCAAAGAGCTGTTCTTAGACAAGAACTTGCTAAACCACTTGACCTTTTCAACAGCTGCAGAACTGTTTATCGAGAACATGCCATCGCCCTTGGCTCCTCTAATTTGGCAGCCGGGAAAGTCAAGCCAGTGACATTGTGTGCTTTAGAAAACTTCTGAGCAATTCACAACTTCCACCATAAAGTGGCTAAATTGGTCTCACTAGTCAGATAGTGATCTTTGGATGGGCCATCCGCTCCTGGAGCTGGTTGGCTTTTGGGACTCAATCACTGGAATCAAATGAGTCACTGCTGGAGATAAACATAAAGACCGATGTGCCAAAGCCTCCAATTCCCTAAACGATAGTTCGTAAGGAAGAAGGGATTGGGTCTGTTTCAAGCCACAAACCTAGGGCAAGTGGCAATGTCTGCCAATAGCAAAGAACACGAATTCTGTTCATTTATGTAATAAGCCATTTCTCGAGCAATTAAGGAGCCAGTGAGTTTTAATTTAGCTTATCTGAAAATTATGTTTGTGTGCAAAAATATCTATGATTCATGACATACTTTTGCAGGATAATGTAGTTGAAATATGATTTGATAATGCTAATAAAATGGGTGAGGAATTATTTTTAAATAGTGGAAGTGAGCAAGAGATGGAGCTTGAGTCGGTATGGAAATAGGAGGATGGCTCCAGTCCACAGGCTGTTTAAAATCCTGGCTCCACCGATTACTAGCTGTGTGACCTTGGACACATGTCTTCAACTCTCTGCCTCTCAGTTTATTCTTTCTTCAAATGGAAATAATAACAGGACCTACTTTATTTTTTTTAAGACTTATTTATTTATTTGAGAGAGAGAAAGAGAGCAGGAGGAGAGGCAGGGGAGAGGGAATCTCAAGCAGACTCCATGCTGACCACGGAGCCCGACTTGGGGCTCGATCTCACAACCCATGAGATCATGACCTGAGCTGAAACCAAGAGTCGGAGGTTTAGCTCTGGTAAGCGCTGTGGATTGTGCAAGACTGTTGAATCTCAGATCTGTACCTCTGAAACAAATAATGCAATATATGTTAAGAAAAAAAAAAAAGAAGA